CTCCCCTGCCTTTGGCAGGGGGTCAGGCTAGATGATCTGTTCATCCTGACCCCTAACTACTATGAAACTATGTGTTGGTGAGGAAAGGTGAGGTCAGCGCACAGAGCAGGGAATGCTTTGCAAACCATTAATGTTCTCCTCCCTACAACTCAAGCACCCCACGTACCAGGACCCTGGGACCAGCAGGGAGAACAAAGTTTGGAAGAAGCACAAGACAGTCCCTGAGCATCATCTAGAGTCAGTTGTCTTGGGAGGGCACCCTACTGCCAGTGCACTTCTCCCCTAGGACTACTGAGTGCATGCAGAGAATGATGGGGAATGTCATGGGTCCAGGGCTGATGTGAAGATCATCACCTCAGAGGTTCCTCCAACATCTGAACTAGCTTCTGCCTGAGGTAGTTCTTCACAGCAACTCCCCAAAATCAAACTTTGCATCTCAGCATCAAGATCCTTTGAGCTTTTTCGTGCTATAACTGGCTGAGGGCAGGGTGAACTCTTCCTGCACTCTTACTGAGATGAAGCTGCCTGCCTGAATGCAACCACTGGTGGGTGCAAAACACACAGACATCCCCAAGTCCATCCTGCACTGCTGGCAGATTTATGGATGCTCCTGGGTGTGTGTGCACTGGTGCTTTTCCAGCTGGGAGGAGAGACTGAAGTTTTGCCCACACTGTGAGCACTAATGTGGCTTCTTCCCCTTGTGGATGCGCTGGTGTCGGGCCAGCTGGGAGGCCCAGAGGAAGCTCTTTCCACACTCAGGACACTGATGTGGCTTTTCTCCTGTGTGCATGCGCTGGTGCTGCACCAGGCGGGAGGATTCAGTGAAACTCTTCCCACACTCAGAGCACTGATATGGCTTCTCCCCTGTGTGGATGCGCTGGTGCCGGGTCAAGTGAAAGGAGAGGGTAAAGCTCTTTCCACACTCAGGGCACTGATATGGCTTTTCCCCTGTGTGGATGCGCTGGTGTTGGACCAGCTGGGAGGACCCGATGAAGCTCTTTCCACACTCAGGGCACTGATGTGGGTTTTCCCCCCTGTTGGCCTGCTGGTGCTGGGCCAGGTGGGAGGAGCGAGTGAAGCTCTTCCCACACTCAAGGCACTGATATGGCTTCTCCCCTGTGTGGATGTGCTGGTGCCGGGCCAGGTGGGAGGCTTGGGTGAAGCTCTTCCCACACTCAGGGCACTGATATGGCTTCTCCCCCGTGTGGATGCGCTTGTGCCGGACCAGATGGGAGGAGAGGATGAAGCTCTTTCCACACTCAGGGCAGTGATGTGGCTTCTCCCCTGTGTGGATTTGTTGATGCCGGGCTAAGTGGGAGACTTGGGTGAAGCTCTTCCCACACTCAGGGCAGCGATGTGGCTTTTCCCCTGTGTGGATGCGCTGATGGTGGACCAGGCTCGAGGAGTGTGTGAAGTGTTTCCCACATTCAGAGCACCCATATGGCTTCTCCCCCGTGTGGATGCGCTGGTGCTCAGCCAGGCTTGCGGAAAGGGTGAAGTGCTTCCCACACTCGGAGCACTGCGGTGGCTTCTTCCCTGGATGAAATCTCTCCCCTGGGCGAATCTTTCCCTTGGGATTCTTCCTATTTTTCAGCTTATCAAATTCTTCCCTGTAACCGTGGCTCTTTTTGGGCTTTGCCTCGGCTCCACTCTCATACCCAACAAGAGTCGGTACTTTTTTCATCACATTCTCCATCTGGTTTTGGGACCTGCTGGGCCTCTTATGCAAATTGTCCTTCTTGGGACTTGGAGGGACCCTCCCTCCTGATCTACTTGGGGAAGTCTGCCATGACTCCAGATCTGAAGGCCCTTCCTCTGCAGGTCTCTTGTCAGCTCTGTTCAGCATCAAGCCAGCTCCTGGGCATGGAAAAAAGAACTCCAAATTAGGCCTGCTCTGACAAAAAGGGGTAAAAACTGCTATTCCCTGAACTGGGATGGGCCTCAGAGTAGGGCTGGAGCTTGGTGCCAGTATTAAGAAAACAAGCTTATCTTCCTAGGACTCCAAGTGCTAGGAATAGGGCAGGTGAAGGTCCATGTACCATGCTAATATTCTGCAACTCAATGGATTTCAGAGCCAGTTTTTCAGGACTTCTCTGCCAGATCTAAGTCCCATCACCTCAGAGCCTTCTGGGAGAAGCATATTAGAGACACGTATTAGGATAGTACCTGAATGCCTTCATGCTCTATGAGGCTGAGCATGAGATCAGAGGCATTTGCTTAAAGGAAGAATGAAGCTCTCTAAGGGCTGCTCTATCCTAAAGCTCTGGTGGGTCCAGAAAGAAAATGCTGACCACTCCCCCCAGCTGGGCTGACATACTCAAGCAGCCAAAGTCCATTAGTGAAACTGTTAGGGTTGATCTCCAGTGCTTACACTTCATGTCGGGCTGTCCCCAGATGCTGCTCTCAGGACAAGTGTGAACAGCCTTATGGTGGAGATCAGGAAGTTGTCAGCAGACCTGAATGCCTGGGGAGCACTGTCTTACCTGGGACTAGATGCTCCGGAGGTGCCTGGGACAAGTGCTGCTTCTGCTTGCTGGAACAAACTAAAATATTTCATCCCTCCCAGAAGGATTTAGAGCTGTTTCTCTCCCTTTTGGAGAGAACATGGCTGTGCTCCCTACCTGCTTCCAGGCAAAGGTCTGATGCAGGCAATGAGCCTGTGGAGCTTTCCTCTGCTGATAAGTCCCAGGTATCCTCCAAGTCACAGGAATCTGTAATGGGAGAAAGGCCTTGGCATTAACCTGGACATGGACTCCGTGGTGTATCCCAGGGCTTCTGATACTCAGGGCCCCAAAGATGATACAGAGAGGGGGATTCTGGTGGAAACCATAAGGTACTCACTTCCCCCACCCAACACAAAAACTTCTGGATCCCACCCACCCCATGGAGCCCAAGAGCTAGATTAAACACTTCCTGGGTTCCAAGTTTCCCTAACAAGAAGAAACCAGAAAGAGCCCCAGCCTGCCTCTTGTCCAACAAATATAGCTAGAGAGAGCTTGGGCCAAACATGCTAATTTCCATGGGGGACCACAAATCCTATTATGCCCTGGCAGAGGGTGTTATGGTTACCTTGGCCTGGGGAATCAATTTTTGCATTGCTGAATGAAGATAGAAATTAAAGATAACCTTTTCTCAGGGGAACCAGGTCTGTGCCTAAAACTCAAGACAGCAAGCTTGATTGTCCACTAACAGGCTAATTAAATGAGAAAAGGGGAACAGCTGCTTGTCTCCATATCACTGATTTCTGGGAGTGGAAACAACATCTGCCTGCACACATCATAGCACAAGCAACTGAAGGTCAGCACCCTCGAATGGCAGCACAGGACAGGTCTGCAATTTCCAGGTACGCCCCTCACTCAGAGTATTGAGCATGTCTGAGAGCGAAGTCAGGTGGAGGGGACCGCACAACTCACCTGGCAAGAGGTCTTCAGCTCTTGAGCTGTCGCCATGGTCCTCATCATCACAAACCCAGAGCTCCACCTCTCCTCGCTCGATGCGGCAGATTAAGCCAGGTGTCGGACCTTGATATCCTGTTTGGGGCAGCGGTTAAAGAGTGTTTGTGACTGGGTACTGGATGGAGAAGAACCAACTGGGATTTGGGGACTGGATCCAATGAACTGAGGTATTCTACTAGGCCTTCAAGGACAGTGGAGGATGGACATGGGATGAAAGAGAAGGCACTGTATTCCATAGATGGTCCTCGTCACTCACGCAGTGGAAGGATAGGGTAACAGGGAGCCTATGGCTCTTGTTACTTTGAAAGGGAAAACAGCAGTAAACAGCATTCAGGCAGCCTAATAAAGGGGACCTACAAGGGAATAGGAAGCCAAATGTTGCGCCTACATGTTGCTCTATGGCAACATTGTTACTACACCATGCTTTAATACTTCCTTTTGGAATTACTAAAGCATGTTACAGTAACCGCCCATACTGGGCCATCACATGGTTATATGTAGCTGCTACTCTGCAGTAGCGATACGCTATGACAGGGGAGCATGCCGCTATGGTGAATAGCTGTTGGTCACATGTAGACACCAGTGGATGCTACATCATCATACAGCATTGCGACTGTGCCGTAGCGTCACCTGTAGACACACCCAAAGTGGCTATTGCTGTGCTAGCTACCCAGCAATACTATGGTGGGACACGGTCTATTGAAGCAGTAGAACTACAGCGATAGGAAACAGGGCAGCAACAGGCTGCCCATTAGAACGGGGGAGAGGCAGCTGCCCCAGAGCTAATAAGACACCTGCCCAGAAGTGGTCAGGGCAGGAGTGAGATAAAAGCCAGGTCCTGAGCAAGGGCAGGCAGTTTGGCCCTGCAAGTTGCAAAAGAAAGCTCCATGACAGGGTGGCTAACGGGGACTGCCTGGCTGACGGGAGAGGCCTTGAGACTGAAAACTAGATGCTTACCGCCCAGGGAAGTAGGGCCCAGTATGGAGGACAGCAGCACGGTTAAGCCAGGAAGTGGCTGATTATGTTGGAACCTAGTGGGGCACAGTTTTCTGTCACAGCCAGAGGACTTGTGGATAGACAAGGTTCAGGCCAGGGAGAGTGAGAGCAGAGGAGCGAGAGACTGGAGCACGGTGCCCATTATGGGCAAAACCATAGCCCAAGTAGGGTGAGGACAAGAGCCAGGAGCCTGTAGCCCAGAGACCCAGGTGAAAGAGGTGACAACGAAGGTCAGAGACCTGTAGCCGGTGAGGGGTGAACACTGGGGCCAGGCCGCCAGAACAAGAGGCAAGGGGCACAGCCCAAAGAGACTGAATTGACAGGGCAGGAACCCAGGAGCTGGGCCTGGTGGGGCTGGCCTTGGTAGCAAGGGGCCAGTGAGAGGAAACTGGGAAGGCCAAGGCCCTGGCAAGGGTGGGAAGGCCTAGAATGGTCAGACATTGGCTCGAGGGAAAATTCCCACACCTAACTGTGAGTCAGTAACACCTGTGAGGCATGGACACAGCCCTAAGAGAGGTTCAGAGGCTGTGATTAGCCAATAAGGAGTCCTGGGAGACATGTATGGGCTGGGAGAGCCAGCAAAATGCAAGGACTGGAGTGAGTCCAACAGGGTCTGACAGGATTCACTGGCAGAGGCGTGTGGAGCAACCTCCAGGGCCCTGGGACAGCCTCCCTTCCACACTGCACTACGAACATCAAGACGTGGCAGGAAAGAGGGAAGGGGGGGGCCCTAGGGCCAGAGT